TGCTCGCGAAGGCAATCGATTCTGTCCGATTGTTCATTCTATGGCGAAATAAGAAGCTATTAGTGGTCGATGATGACGACAATGAGTTATTATCTATTTTTCGCTCAGCTATCGCGATAAAGATAGTAATCGTGACGAGGATGTCGTCTATTTCTTCTCTCATCTATCGCTGTATCGATAGTTGTCACTTACTCTTGTATTTGGTCATTGATGATGTATGGGTGCTCAAACGTCGCACGCGGGGTATGTGCCGGCTTCGCGGTGGCGCAAGATGTGAATCTCGCTCGCCCGAAATTCACTAGTTGAAACGGGTGAAACGGCTAGCGTTACGGCTTCTTCGTGTAGCCTTTCTGTGAGCCTTTATTGTGAGCTTTGAGTGATCTGTGAGGACTATCTTCTAGATAGTATCGGGAACTATCTCTTTCGTAACTAACCCTAACACCAATAGGTCTGTTATACCCTCAACGCTCTAGTACATTGCGTTAAGCCTCAGGAGTCTATGGAATTACGTTCTGGTTCTAAGTTATCCCCCTCTGTCGGTTCTGTCCGCAGAGGGAGATCTAGAGAGGAATCTAGTGCTTTTTCTCTTCCCCCTAGTAACAGGATTCCATCACCCGCTCCTGCACAGCGCAAGTTGGTAGGCGAGCGATATGTTCCTGAATCTCAGGAATCTTTTGATTAATTTGAAATATCTGTTCTTGATGCAGGTTAATCACGTCAAAATTGGTCTGGGTCCGGTTCCTCGCGGATCCAGGGCGACAAGCAAGAGGAAACTGTGCGCCCAGGATGGGCACCTCAAGCAGGTGAGCGAGGTTATCGAGTTACCATTGCTCTTGCGAAGTACACCGTTCCTGTTTCAGGCTCGCGATGGAAGCTCGCACTGTATCACCCACTGGGTGATACAGTGCATCACTGCACGAAGTGCCGTGGGCATCAGTGATCGCTGAAAGGCCCACGGGTGAGGGAGGAGATGCAGGATGGAGGGCTGCAGTGCAGCCGCTGCCCGCCCTGGCCCCAAGCAGTTGTGCCGAAAACATGGCGGCAAGGAGCCTCAGCGGACAGGTGATACAGGTAAGTCTGGGCTAGCCATCCGATGCGAAGGTATGATCGATGGGAGATGGTTGGTTTACCCGGACGTATATGAACTGCATCTCATACCGCAAGGTTGAATTGGCATGATTGCTCCTCCTCTTCTAGGAAGAGTCTTCCTTCTCAGGCCAGCGACCTCAGTTTGGCAGTCTAGGATGCCATGTATATTTGGAGAGTGGTCAAGGGTGAGGAAGAAATTGTTTCAAATGCCCTTGGCGATGGTTTCGTTTTACTTGATATTCCTCAGAGGAATTCCTGGAGAGCTTCAGATGCAACCAGAAACTGAAGGTTCAAGATTTTTATGATGAATTTTTATTCGTTAGTCACCGTGGTGACTAACCACCGTGGTGACTAATTCACGACCATGGCGTGGTCGTGAGTGAGTCAGATTGATTATGTATCTACCCCTATCAATCACTGTGTTATGATAGTTCTCGTCGCTCGCATCCGAAAATCCCGGACCGAGAAGATGCGCCGCTCAGTCGATTCCGCAGCTCTCGCGATGCCTATCGATGGCGAGTCGTCATTCACGACGGAATGGTTCGTCATGGCTAATAAGAACAAAACTAGTTTACCATCTATGATGATCTGCCGAACTCTGTCAGAGTTACTCTGACGATCGTGGCTGTTTGACGAGTAATATCGCAGCGGCATTACTGTCGCTATCTAATCTCAGCCTACTCTACTATCAGCCAGAGGCCTCAGGAACGACTTTCGGTAAATGTCGATGAGTCATCGACGATGACTAAGCAAGGACCAGCAACGGCGGATTTGATGGATAGACAGGGCGAGTTTATCATCTGCTGTTGTATAGAAGCTGAAAATAAATACTTTCGTACAGGTTCGCCTTCATACGTGAATCGATGGCTTTAGAGAGCCAGAATGTTTCTTATTTCGATGATAAGAAGCAGCCGCGGACAAACTGAATGTAATCACAGCCCAATGAAGGCGTAGCCTTCAAGGCGAATATCATATCTTCGAGATTCCATCTATCTAATACCCGACACTGGACGCAGCTGTCAGCTCGACTATGAAACAAGCCGTTCATGGCTGTCATGATGGCAGAATACACTCCGAGTGTAACACTCGGCCAGGGTTTCAAAGCGAAGAGACAGGACATCGTCCCGACAGGGGAAAAATGCGTCGGACCGATACACGGTGTATCATACACCATGGAGGTCCGTTAACCTGATCTTTATACCTAAGATTCTCTGCTCTAGTATCATGAGGCTTAAATCGGCATGAGCCCGTGATTATAATGTCTACAAACATGTTGGTGTGTTGGTGTCTCTGCAACGAACCAGGAATACCTACGCCCTACACATGACTCGTACTCGGGAGATAATTAATCTTACTTGTACTCGAAAACCCATCTAGGTCACGCTTTGGCGCCTCTCGATAAGACCCCTTCCGAGGCGGACCTCACGCACCTACACCGGCTGGTCGTCAAAAAGGCATCATAGCGTATGATTCATGACCCCGGCCGCTCGAACACGATCATTCAACCCATCAACGGGGACGAACGGTGAGGCTGAGTCTACAGCATTGACTCCATACTCGATACTCGGGCCAAGACCTTCGTGCATGACATTCACGGGCAGCGAAGAATATTACCTCCAAGTTGATCGGGGACCCCGTTGCGTCATCTAATCTCTGTAGTTGGAGGATCCACGGTGAAAATTGTGGTGAAACGTCCATTACTCATGCGGTGAGGCTTTATTGAAACAACGCACTCCTTGGGAAATGACGTTGCGACTCTATAGGAGTGCGATTTTGATGTGGGGATATACGAATTTGAGGTTGGAGCCTCATTCTCATTCCTGGCAGGGATAACTTAGCCAAGCGCTCGATGATTCCTGGTTGAACGTCGGTAGTGACGTTCAATTACTGACCAGGGAAGTGAGGACAAATATCTCTGTACGTGCATAATTTGTATAGGAGGCACAGTATGGCACAACGCGAGCAGCATGACAATGTTAGGCTGGCCTTGTCAGTATTTGCCCAGGCATTCCATCTTCATCATATTGATCTCGTATGAAGTTACCCTCCATTCTAGCTATCCTGATCATCTGGGGTGTTGTTATCGGTGATGTTCACGTAGATGATGCTGGGAAGATCATCTCCGAGATGATGATGGATAAGCAGGTCGATAGTGGCGGTGTGATACTTCGAACCCAACAGGAATAATATCAGGGGCAGGTGAGAGAAACTGCTATTATCGACGAGACCACAGCTACTTGTGTGAGCTAAGCAATAATGGGGACAAATAGATAAAGGACAATACGCATTATGATAATGAATGGTTCACTGAGCATGTGTCGACTCGACACTGTCGAGCATATCTTTCTTTTGTCGTAGCTGCTGTATATTGATTTCAATTTTCTAGGGTTGCTTGAGGGTTGTTTGCCGTAGCAGTCTTTCTGATCATCGACGGGTCTCAGTTCAACTGAGTTAATTTTTTATGACATCCACTTTCGTTTTGCTCGTCAGAGTCTCCGTCCTTGAAGTGGGGAAACATTCTTGGACGTGAATTCCCATCGAATACGGGTTTGCGGGAGGTAGCAGCGTGGTTGGTCGGACCGTTTGTTTCAGACCGTTATGATCCAAGTGCGATCCGACCAAGTTCGGTGCTACCAATGCCCTCAACATTGATCTGTTGGCCCTCACGTAGCTACGCGAAGGGTCCAACTGGGACTGAAGCCGGACACAGCTGTCCGGTCCTATCATGTTCCTGGGATCAATATGAAGGCATCGCCGTACTCAAGGAAACTATTTTGAATTGAAAAAAAATTCTAACCCGTCGAGGGGACCTATCGACCACTATAGCCGGGCTCGGCCTCACAGCCGTACCCATACTACGTTGGTAGCCACTCATGGCCTGATTCATGAAAGCTTAGCGTTCGATCATAGCTCTGGAGCACCCGAAACCGTAAGATGGGCGCGCGCATTTCGATTGTGTTACTTGTCTGCATCGAGGGCAACCCTCCTTACGCGGTATTTCACTCACGCTACAGTACTGTTGTTCTTCCGCTTATCAGATAACGTAGGCGAACTCTCATTGAGCGTTTTCAGTATGCTGATAGCTTTGTAAGCTAAGCATACCGCTATCAGTTTCCTTCTCAATACGAAGATAGGAGTCCTATCATAGGACTCACACTGTGACTGTCTCACAGCTCCACTGCTTTTCCCAGGGGCCTGACAAATGAGCTCCGTCATCAGCTGGGCTGGCCTTATAGGACAGACTTCGTAAGTTTTGCCGATTGCGCTCATCAGAATCACAAAATCAGATTTCGTGTTTGTGGTTCTGCCGTTGCCGTCTGTTCGTTATACAAGTGAGGGTTGTGTACCTATTGTGCGCAGCCACACGTGAGACGTTCGTGCATGACAGCCACAGAGTCTGTGGCACAGACAGCAAGCAACATTGCCACTAATTATTAGCTATCGTTATTGCCACCAATCCCTAATCCCTGTAGCTGGAGGATTCACGATGAAACTTGTGTTGAAACATTCACCACACATGCGGCGAAGCTTGAATGGAATAACACATAATGCGTTACACATTCCTTGGGCAATTACTTTGTGACGGTATAGGGCTACGATTTTCATAGGAAGAGCCTCGTCTCAGGAGGAGCCTCATCTCCATTTCTAGCAAGAGTACCTTGACCAAAAGCTTGACAATTCCTTACATTATGATTAGAAATGACGT